TTTATTCATTTTAAATAAAGCATAGACAAAGTATTTCTAATATTTATAGAGAATTGTTTAATGTCCTCTTTGGAGATGAATCAGTTTAAAGACCTGAATTTTGATAATCTTGTTGGCTTATATAAATAGGCCCCCTATATTTCTGCTCTGTTGGCTCTAAAACTCCTGTCACCACCACAAAATTAGACTGTAACAATTTCACCAATAGCCAATTTACAGGCTACCTTTTTTAAAACTAGACCAATTTTCTAAGGGTGAAGTGTGTGGGATATTCAAATTTCATGATTGAGAATTGAAATTCTTCAAAGGGCGAAGGGTGTGGAAATATTCAATTTTCAACCTTGCGTTTCAAACTCTAGGTCTGATTTGGTGGACCGTTAGGCCATATTAGGGTGGTCTTATGTGATTATTTACATACAACATAAGCCATAACATGCTTTTTTTCTTTTTCTTTTTCTTTTTTTATCGGTTAGGCTGATCTTGTACTAGTTTTTATATACTTTAAAATTAATTTCTACCCTAAATGATCTTTAAAGTGCACTTCCATATCAATATGGTATATTCAAAAAAATTAATTTTTTAGAGTATTAATCTTAAAATTTAAACTTAAAACCAAATTTATAAAACCTAGTTTATAAAACAACATTTATTTATTAATGAATCTTACACTTAAAGTTAACATGTTCTTTATTTTTCCATGACGCGTACTTCTACTAGTAAAACAAATTTAGAGGGGCAAAGATGAAACTTTCAAAGAGTGCTTTTACCACTAAACTTTTAAGTTTCACTCAAACTATTCAAACAAAGATTAAAAAAACAAAAAAATCAAAATTAGTAAGTAAATAGGCTTTAAAATCATATTTGAACGTCAGCTAAGAGAAGTGAATTAAATACTAACTATCCTTTTCTTAAAGAAAAGAATAAACCTAATGGATGAAGTATGAGTTGTTATCTTCCTTATATTAGTTGTAATTTGTAAATATAAAATGTTGGCGGGAAATGTGGATGCAATGTTGCCAAAGAAAATGGAAATGAACATAAAAAAATTTACAATACAACCGTAATATGACTAATGGTCTCTTTGTCTACAAATAATAATTTTATCTTTAAATTAAAAATTTGAGAATAAATCATGTTTTTTTTTATATTATCTTTAAAAAAAAATAAAATAAAGAGCATTTTTATATAATGAATAATTAAAGTCAAGAGATAATAATAAAATTAAAATAATATTTGTCTCTCCTAATCATCTAGACATGTAAGTAAAATATTAATAAAATGAGTCTATTATTATTATTAATTAACTTAAAGTTGTAATTGGAGCTCTCTCTTTTTTTTTTTAATAGAAAATGCAAATTTTATTAATCAAAAGATAAGTGGAGATTATACAGTAAATCATAATCTTTTATAAGACCCAAATTGGGTATTGAAAAGGCTATAAATACATAAAATGCCTTGTTTTGTAGTTTAGATTCCATCAAATTGTAAAATAAGGGTTATTAGATGGGGAGTACAGCTCACAATATTAAGGAGTCTACTTTGATTTAATGATTATAGTTATACAATCTAATGTTATTTAGACTCTACAACACTTTTCTCATATATATAGGGCAATGATTCATCCACACCATCCCATTATACACTCTAACGATTTCCATTATATACACTGACGGTCTTCGACTCTCCGTTGCCCAACCCTTTCTTTCTCTCTCTCCTTTCCTTTCTCCTTCTTGCAGTTCATCGTCCTCACCAAATTCATCTTCCTCCTCACCTCCATCTTCATCCTAATCATCTGTAGAACAATTGCCAAACTAGATTCCCCCCTTCTTCCTCTTTTTTTTTTTTTTTCTCTCCATGCTTCTCTTTCAAAACCCGATTTGGGTTCTTACCAAGAGAACCCATGGGTTCTCCTAGCCTTCCTTTTTTTTTTCTCCCGGGTTCTCCTTTAGAACCCGATTTGGGTTCTCCAGGAAAACCCACGGATTCTGTTGGTAAAAACTTGCAAATTTTGAAAGAGAACCCAGATCTCTTTCAGAACTTGATTTGTTGAGGGGGAAAGAGAAGGAAGAAGAGGGGAGGAGATGGTTTGCGGGGAAATGTGATTCCATATGGCACATTCTAGGAATTGACTAGAGATTTCTTGTTGTTGCCTGTATCGACATACGAGTCGCCCAACACGAAGAGCTTGTTGGGTTTGAAAACAAAAATAGAACGGTTTTGATATTATTTTGCCCCCTTTTTTTTTTATTTCTTGTGAGTTGCTGAAAATGTCTTTTTGATTCTTTGTGAGTGGTTGGGTTTGAAAACAAAGGCAAAACGATGCTCCAAAAAAGATGGATTGTTCATAGCATAGATTAAGAAACCCAGCAGTCTCTAGAGTAGAAGAAAATGGAGAAGTTTAGAGGCTGGGTGCGTAATAAAAACTATCAGTATGTGTAATGGAGACAGCTAGTGTGTGACGAGTTGTGTTGTGTGAGAGGGTAA